AATATCCTTTATAAAATATATTATGACAAAGCCTAACATAGAGCATACACTTAGCAACATCAATTATATTTAAATTATATGCGTTCATATTCTATATTCGACACTTAAAACTTGCGATAGATTAATATCTTTATTTGCTTCGTTGAAGTTAGAAGTAATTAATTTTTTATAAGAGACTGAAACTTAGCTGTATTATAAGTTAGCTTGGGACATACGTTGCAACAATCTACCTTAACCCATTAATATATAAGAAACCTTATCACCACTTGTCACAGAATTCAATAATACTGTTGTTGATCAGTGTAGTGATAACATTGTCTTTTTGAAGATACCAAATATAATTGCAGCGATTGTATTTCCCCAAAAAACCAGTTTTTTTCTGAAATCTAAAAACTAAAATTTCGTTACTGAAAGTGTTTGCTCGCAGAGAAAAATTTTTTATAAAACTATATTTATTGTAATAACCTTTAGAAGCAGGACTTCCTTTTATATATCACTTCAGTTGGTTTCATAGTGGAAGGCAAATATCAAATGAGAGGAGGAAGTTAATTAGAGGAATGACAATAATAATACAACATCAGTAGCGCAATGATATCAGTAATATGGAGACACTGAAATTTTCCAAAATTAACAAGGTAATAAGTAAATTAATTAACAAATGATCACTTATTTCTCCTCCTCCTGAAAACTCAGTTACATGTGAAACTCATTTTTCAACATTTTAAAATTTTTTGCTAGCTCTACTAACTCCGATGAAAATGCAGGGAATAACTACACTTGATTAACCTTATTACTTTGTTGACAAACCACTATATAGTAAATGTCGCACCAATACTAACTATTTGATTAGTTAATAAAGTCTGATTAGCAGTTTTAAAAGATTTTTTGCTGAGTTGAATTAGATTATTTAAATTTTAAAATATCAACAAACCTAGCAAAAACAACCCATGATGGTCCTCCAAATCCATGATGTCCATGATTTCCCTTATCTTTCTGCTTTGTTAACAGTTGTGCCGGACAACAATCGATGCCACAGCATACCTCTGAACCAGTCTTACAATCCCAGGTTAATGATTTCGGCCTTGAACCATCGCTGAATTGTACCTTAAAAACCGAAACATAAATAACTTCTTAATTTAGGATTTAAAACATCCGCAGTTCACAAATTTCCAGAAATTTCCTCTAAAATTCCAAATTCATATTATGACATACTGTTTTAAAGAATTGCGCTGGCGTCATAGCGGTTGAATTTGTTGATTCATTAATAGCTGGCGTTGGATTTGTTGAATTTTCCTTCAAAAAAAAGTTCAGAAAAAAAGTAGTGAAAAAATTTTATTTATGAAATGTTTTTTCCTTAAATTTCATTTATGCAGTATATGGAATTTTTTTTAGATCTAATTAGGTCTAATTAGGAAAACCATTTAATCTAATCTTATGTCTTTCAATGTCTTATACCTAATAAGATCACTCATTGCTTTATAATCTTCGATCAAAATGTTTCGTCTTTCTTACTCAGAAAAATGAATTTTTTTTTAATCTCGTGTACCTGCAACATTTTCACTACATCATCGATCAGCATTGAACATATAAAATAACCATTCTTGAGCTGATAATTCCGTTCATCAAAATAGTAATTTTGACCGTTTGGTATTGTCAGGGGTTCGGATTTGGAAGTGAGAACTGCCTAGAAGAAAAGGAGAAAATTTCAAGCATGTTCAGCAGAAAGTTATATTAGATGTTAAAATCGATAATGTTATTATCTCTGACATAAAGATAGTAGTAACCGCATGTAAAACCGTACATGAAAGAAAGAGTGATAAATAAATACGCTCGAATACTGTTATATATGTAGTAGACTACAAAATAAATCTAACTGGTCGGCAAGAAAAGTGCATTAAGAATAATGAAAATACTGCTCTCAATTGGTATTTCTATCTGAAAATTCACTGGAATTGATATCCAATTCATTAAGTGCCGTATTTTATAAACTTCTCAGTTCTAATTCGGAAAAAAGTGTTATTTTTCAAATTCTATAAAATAATATGCGCTGATGAAAAGAATAACCTGCCTTTCCTATGTGAAAAATTACTCCACCTGCGACACCTCCAACTAGACCACCAGCAAGTGCTGTCCCAAATGCTCCTTTGTTGGACGGCCTAGAATTGTTCACTTTTAATATCATTTAATTTTTCATTTGCTAATTTAAAAATTTTGAGATCAAAAATAAAAAAATAGAATTTTGCCAGCTAGTAAACATTTTTTCAGATATTTTAAAACACCAAGCTTTCCATTATATTGCCAGGTCTACTGAATGGTTCAGAAGAAACTATCAATTAGGCAAATTTCATAGAACTATAATTTTCGCGGCCCTTCTAAAGCTTTAGAAATACTCTTCTCTTTTACACACTTACTTCATTTGGCTAGGAGCAACACCGCTCTGCTGATGATATCCACCAACTTGATTGGGGTGATAACCTCCGGGTGCTGGTTGATGATACCCATTTTGATGCGGATGATAATTACTCTGCTGTGGATAACGACCAATCTGCTGTGGGTAATGACCACTCTGTTGTGGATGTTGACCACTTTTCTGTGAATGTTCAAAATTTGTAAAAATAAAGAATATTATATTACAATATGAGAGAACTACTTGCTTGGTTCATTTATCCTCTGATTTTTCTGACTGATACCAATGATTCTTTCATCTTAACATATCACAGAGAGACCATTAATTACTCATTTAGCCATATTAAATCATCAATTAAAAGAAATAGTTATTTTAAATTTTATTACATAACACATCGGTTACGATCATTCTTAAATTCAACAATTTAAAGAAAAGGTAATTTGAAAACTAACCACATTCATTCGTGCAGCACTTGAACCACGACTTGAACCCTTCCCTCCCACACTAAATTTACGTGCATTAGTGATTCCTGCAGTAAGCAGTAATAAGCAGACGATAATCTTGCACATGTCTACTAAGTCACAAATGTCGATCTGAAAAATAGAAGTTAGTTCTAAGTGAGTAAGTCCACATCCTGATATAACGAGCAGTGGACAAGGGATACTCCTTTCTATCTTTAACAACAAACAAGATTTACACGGCATGAATTTCTTTTTCTCGCCTGCGACAATTTTACGTATCAATAAAATAAGATGAAATTCTAATCACCGATTATTACAATCAGAGTTAACAAAGAAGAGTTAAAAGAAAAATGCTGCTAAAAAATCCTTCTATGTCACATTATATTTCTAGTGAGAATCTACTGAGATTAAATTTATTCAGTTCTAAATTTTCGCAATAATCATAGAATGAATAGAGAAGCAGTTTGAATTATTTGCAAATGTAGCATTAAAAATTGTGATACATTTCCGATACTTGAAAAGTCATATTGAATCATATTTCGTGACTCAGTTGGGTGACAAATAAAATTCAATGAATGAAAGCTAATGTATGTGTATGTATGTGTGTGTGGGTGCGCAATCATAACTCAAAACAGTTATGATTACACACCCACACACACATACATACACATGCATACACACACATTATATATAAGTAGTGCATGAAGTAATACATTTAAAACATTTAAATTTAATCTTTAGTCTTCAATTTATTAAATAAAGAATGAGGACTACAGATTAAATCTAGATTTAAATTTATGCCTAGTAATTTTAGGACTGCAACTATTGCAGTGCAGATTTAGATGTTCCTTGACAAGTTGAAATTTGAAGGCATAGTATTTGATAAATATAACTTGTTCCGAGAATGTAAGTAGGGCTTATCCTTATTCCATTCTATGGAATCTTTGCCGGCATTTCATCGAGAATTGAAGGATTTCGAAATACTGGGAAACTTCAAGCTTCTAAAATAATGACTAATGCTGCATTGCTTCTCATGGAGTGCCATCTTTCCGTTCTGTCATTCCGATCCATTGAACACAGGAATTAAACTATTCAAACTTTCATAAGGCAAACTTCTGCTACTTATTGCCTTTATTTCACGAACGACATACCTTTGATAGATACCTCTTCATAGTGTCTCATTTCATCATCGATTGTTGAATAGAAGAAACGATCGACTCTCTCCATCGATAGATGTCCTTTAATTTGCCTGAAGAATTTTTTCTTTTTTTTCAACTGACGATTGCTCTTTTCATCTGAGAAGCCGATATGATCGGTATATTGGATATTGGAGAGGTAAAAGGTAAAGTTACGTAATTTTTTTTTAATGAAATAAATACTGAATTTTAACTTACATTCATGAAAATTTTGGATAAGTACAAATACTTGAAGGCAAACAGTTATTTCATGGTGGAAGGAGAGAATTCAACCTTATAATTTTAACAACAACAAAAGATGGGTGGTTGGAAAATTCTGACTCCTGCAAAACTTTTACAAATCTTAAGACTATAGTAATGAATAGATTTGCTAAACAGTAAGCTTAACCATTGCCTTTATTTCACGAATATGAAAGAAAGTGTGAAATGGCATTTAGTGCACTGATGCATTCGAAGATTGATGACAACCTCTCAACATTCAAACAAAAAACATATATATTTGGGAAATCGTTCACAGAATTACCACTAATTATTAGTTACCAATAATTATCAATCATTTAGGATAGCGTGTTTTAATTCTACGAATAACAACAGAATTAATTAACCAATGAATAAAAAAAACTAAATGAAACATCGGTAAAGCATAGGGATGGGTTACCTGAGGATAGATCACCTAATTTTATTAGTAGTAAATAAGAGGGGAATAGGCTAACAAGAGATCTTTGACCTTCGGGGGTAAAATTAAGGAAAATAGAAAAATATATATACATGGCAATTGGTAAAGTGGATAATACAAATCATGTTTTCATGTGTCTCTGTACTTGTCGGTAATCGATAAAGCCTTACACTGTTTGTCGAATCGATAATGCTTACACTGTGTACCAATTCGATAATGTCTAATTTTGTTCACCAGATCGGCAATGCCTTACACTGTTTATTGGATCGGTAATCCCTTACACTGTGTACCGGATCGATAATGTCTAAAATTGTTTACCGGAGCCCAACAATAACTATTGAATCGGAGTCACGAAAAATACGCACAAATTCAAATCGTTTTGCATATTAGCAAGTTTTGTTTTAATGCGTTATTTTGCGAACGGAGATAATCATACTTGCCTTAGCCCATATCACATCATATCATATCATATCAGTGATTCAATTTAAAAGTCAGCTTAAAATGATGAACTTCCTTAATTTTTTATCAGTATCTCCACTTCTGCACTTTTACAGCCATTAACTTTATGACACAGCGCAAGTAGAATAGGTTAAGAGATAATTATACAAAAATGAAAACATCTCACTCCGTATTAATATAACGTTTTCCGACAAAAGAAATTAGCAACAGTTAATGTAATGAAAGCAATGGAAAGCTTAAATGTTATATGCATGCATGCGCAGGGTACTATACAATTCTGCAAATCGACTGCTACTGATCGATCACTTCCAATTTTCTCTACTGCAGAGGTTATTATGGCAGCGATACTATGAAGAATATAGAAGCAAAAGAGTGAGACAATGTAGAAGTGACGGATTGAGAATTCAATGAAGGCATCAGACAGACAATCTGTCATTAAATCCGGTTTCGTTTTCAGCGCCTACAAATTGTATGCATTAACTAACATATGCATAGCAGCTTGCGATTATTTGAATTATAAATAAAATATAAAAATACAAGTACTTTCGGCTTATATGATTATTTGGTCCCGTAACTAGCGGAGAAAACTTTCAGATTCATTGGAATCTGAGCTCTTCTACCTCTCAGAAATGATGGAATTATGGAAGTTTGATTGAAATCAGTCAAAAGAAGTGAATTTCTTTCGACGAATAGTAATACCATCGATCATTGAACTGTCATCTTTCATTAAAATAAACAAGAAAAAGAAGCATCAAAAATTTTATTTGAAATTACATGAAGAGATTGTTGATGACTGTATCGAATTTCCTTTCTTATCATACGACAGTAAACTCAATGGATTAGAAACATTTCCAAAAAATGAACTCTCTGTTTGTTTGTTTCTTAAATTAATTCAAAATAATTCAAAATTTAGTTTTGTATAAAGCATTTCCGAAAAACATAATCTTTAACAGTCAACTGTTAACTCTCCCAAATTGTAAGTAGTAAATTAACGAATGAAAACTCGTTCTGTTCTCTATTCCTGCATGTTCAGAGAATAACAAATTTGCTGTAAAAATTTCTCAGCACGATAAATGGCTGACACAAAATGTTTGAACAGAAGACACAAAAAAGAATTTAGTACAATTTAATTATATTAGTTGAAATTTAGATAATAAAAAATGTTTACTGATTTAGAGAGACTGCATTCGCTGCCGAATTATATGTTTGTAAAGACGATATACGTCTTTTCCTTTTTGGACGCCTGAGAGTGCTGCATATTTCCATGAATAGCAAATTTGGTTGAAGAAATTTATAAATTACGAGAGTTCGCAAAACGAAAATTGGAGCAGGTACTAAATGAGTTCAAACTGCATCCAGTTAATAAATTGAATTTTAGGATAGCTCTGGAGAA